GCCATGTTTGTAATGACTTATCATGAGAACAAACGTATTCACGCGTGACTTTAGTAGCATTTCTTACTTAATAGAAACACCGCAGTTGTGAAACTGTGTTTTTCGACGTTAACAGAATATCTACAAAGTTTTGCGAACATTTGCAATGGAAACGCAGCTATTGTTGTAAAATTTGATGTGATTATGGCTGAGAGTCATTCACAAGACTTACTTTGATTATGACGTCTGCCAATACTGAATGAGATCATAGTGTTATTTTCAAGGTTTGACCAAAACTACTAATAAACATATAGGAAAGTTTGACAATTGCTTGACTACTTTGTTTCAGGGTGAATATGTTTGAGTGGTACCAGCAATGATTTGAACATAAATGAAGACTTATTGGTTTTTTCTTGGCCCCACAGAAATTAAATGAGCAAGCAGCTGCTATGTTTGAGCTGGGAGAGGAGCCAGAGGTGACCTCAGGACTCAGCATCATGAATGAGTTGGTGGTACCCTGCATCCCTCTGCTACTGGCTAATGAMAATGAGAAGGACCTGCTTGCTGTGGAGGACATGAGGAACCGCTGGTGCTCCTACCTGGGCCAAGAAATGGAGGGTGAGTCTTTAAAGGGGTCTCGGAGAATTAAACATTTTTGGAAAGTTTAAGGATAGGGTACACTCTCCTGTCCCTACTGCCAAAGACTATAATTATGTCTCGCATTTGTACAGCTTCCAAGCTGAGCAGTGTCATTATACTCAGACATTACCATATACTGTATATATTAGCTCAGGAAGTAGAAAAAGCAGTAATATAAGTTAAAACTTAACAACTCACCAGGAACAGATGAATTCAATGCTGAATGATATAAGATCTATTTAAAAGAACTTTCCTCTATTTTTTGAGAACATTTAACTGGGTTCTAAATGGGGGGGCAGGTTCCACAGCCCTCAGATAGATTTTCATTTTGGGGAAAATGTTTGTGCAGCCTTGATATATGTATATAAACTGAAACAGCTTGACTAGTGCATCTTAAATTTAACATAAATTAATTATTTTAATACAATATAGTTTTCTGCAGTTTTTGGGGAGGTCACCTCCTATTAAATGTTACGTAAAATCTAACTGCTCATTTTAAATCTATACTTTTACTTTTTAATACTTAAGTACAAAAAGTATCAGATACTTTAAGACTTTTACTCAAGTAATATTCCTAAAGAAGACTTTAACTTTTACCAGAGTAATTTTTGGTAAGATACTTGTACTTTTACTCAAGGATCACTTTGTGGTACTTTGTACAACACTGTTGTTCAGATGGAAGTGACGTGAATTAAAACTGAAGACAGATGTGGAGAGWGTTGGACACCATGGTGGACTTTCATGAACAGTACAAACTAAGTGACACCTGTTGTTCCTGAGCGACTCTGTTCTGAATAGCTCATTAGTTTTATTGTTGAAGTCTTGTTTCATATTTTTCTTTCAACTCTTCTCAGCAAAAACAAACAAACAAAAAAGAATACAGGGTACCGGATATTGAATAACCACCTGAATGAGTATACTGTCTGGATTAATACAGCCAACTGGAAACAGAATTGTAGAATCTTGTTTTACACTATGTGATGTAGGCCTGCCACGATTAATCAATTATTAAAATAACCGTTTGTGGCAGCCCTGATGTGATTAGATTAAACACATCTTCATGTTCCTAAGTAAAAAATTGAATTAAAAAAAACATGCACACAATTTTTGCCAGGCTTGAATAGAGGAGGTGGTTTTAGTTTTAGTTTGTGATTTCATAGTTTAAAAATGTGATACAGCATATACATTCTCTCTCTAGTGCAGGGGTGGGCAATCCTGGTCCTCGAGGGCTGCAGCCCTGCATGTTTTACTTTTTTCTCTGCTCAAACGCACCTGATTTGAATGAATGGGTGATTATCAGGCTTCTGCTGTACGGAGGACCGAAACTGACATAATTAAAAATAAAAGCGGAAATATATAAACTGACTAATAAATAAATAAATAAATAAATAAATAA